TCTTATTTTAGGTCTAGAAATTTTTGGGCTTTTACTTTCCCAAGAACTAATGGGAAATACTTGCCCATGTCTCAAATTTCCTTTAAACCCTTGCCCAAGTCCACTAGAGATAGGTCTCTCCCTTAAGTTGGAATAGTACTAGCCTTATTTTAGTAACGTCGAATATGATATCTATAGCCTCCAAGATCTTATCCACTTGTTAGAACCAATGATCGGCCACCATCTGATCCGTTCCTCCCATAAAAGTTGGTGGCTTATGTGCCTTAAACTTCTGGAGGTTGCTCGAGTCTTTGTGACCTATGTTGGCGCTGACTTGTGCAAAAGTAGCCACCATTGTGCCCCTTGACTCTATGAAGGCTTGTTGGTCAAAGGTCAATGGTGGTGATTTGCTATTCTGCCCATCCCCTTGACCCTTGTCTCTAGTTACCATCTAAAATATAAGATACAATGGCCCTAACTTAGTGCCCTCGATCGTTAACAACCTCAAAGCATCATAAAATATATCATAAGGGTACAATGATGCTAGCATGTGAGATGGTTTTAAATCTCAACTAAAACTTTAAAACAATAGACAGTCACATTCGAACAAGCCTTTCACGTTTGAATGAACTAAAGTTTGAATGTGAATTTGCGTTCAAAAGTACAGAGGTCATAATATCTCAACCTCTATAGAGTTTCTGAGATTTTGTAAAAAGTGTTGGGAGCTAATGAATTTAGAACGTGGGATGGCGTTCAAACGGGCTGAAGTCCTAGTATCTCCCCCTACAAAGTTTTGAGACTTCTACAAAGTACTATAAGCAAATTACATTCGAATGTGGGTAGCGTTCAAACGTAGCCCCCCTTCTTTCCCCTTTATTGCCGTTCTTTCTTTCATCCTTTTTTCCAATCCTAAGGCTATATGTCCACTTAGGTTTTTCCACATTCCTCATGTTTAAGCATACATATATTCACACATTTAACACATAACAAAAAATATGTCATACACAATGGATGCAATGGCCTAGACCCATGCTCTGTAAGCCTTAGGTAATATGAGAACCTAGACTCTGATACCAAGTTGTGACGCTCCAATTTTCAGGAGTCCCAATTAACCTGTTGATCACCCATCAACCTGCAAAATAACCAATGATACTGTTTAACCCGATAACACATAGAAATACCCCATTTACTGGAGTCTATAACTTAAACAAAATCTGGGCAGAGTCTCCTTTATACGGAGAGCTCTACCCAACACACACAAACCTGTGTAATCCCAATCATTGACCACATCGGGTCCCAACATCAACATTCAATCAATATAGCATTGAATACTAACATCCATGACATTCATTCGTTTACAAAAGAATATTGTCCAAGAGAGTCTCATTACATGTCTTTGTCAAAATACAAGTTTTGTACAAAATTTATACAAAGCCAAATGTAAATATATGCAAGGGACTACAAAAATGTAATTCAAGAGCCACAACCCGACTCTGTCGTTAATACAGGCCCAAGTAAGGGCTGTCAGCTGAAGCTTGTCCAACACCTAAAATGTATTCTCATGAAGGGAGAGTCGTGCTCAATAGGGCATCTCCTATAGAAATCATCTCCCAACCTAGATGCATATAAAATTTCAGATGTAAATTATCATGTCAACCATTCATTCAAATACATAAAATTCATAAATGAATGCCACAATTCAATGTCATTCCATTAGATGAGAACTTACACATGCAATGCAAACAGTGCCCAACCGGTTCCCATAATACATGCTATGTCATGTGTATGCATCTACGTAGTCCAAGCCTCCGATATTTATGTTAGATATGCAATGACAATTTTATAAAAACCTGTGTCTATCTTGGAGTAGGTATTTATGGACTTCCATCAACGGTCACCTATGAACTTTTACCAATGGTTCTATGTACACTAACACACTTTATAGATTCAAAGCGTATCCGAAATTACTGGGTCTTGCACCCGAGGGAGAATCTAGCTCTTCTTGCTAACATCAATACATTTTTTAATGCAAACTTGTGCGACTCAACTAGGTCTAGGTCTAACTTTATCAAACCCACATATCAACCCACCAAGAATGACGTTTGACTAAAAACATGCACACACATCCACACTAATGTTGGATGCTCACGAATGCGATGCTATCCATGCATATGCAATTAAAATGCATAATTACAATTCATATTATCATGCTCATCATATCATAAAACATATAATGAAAATGTCCATTTTCCACAAATATTCCTAAGCATATCACATGTGATATCAATTCAAATAATATACTTGAATTTCTAAGTATTTTATCAAACACTTAGTAGGCATAAAATGTAAAAACATAGCATACCCAAATAAGTAATTTCATCAAATCTAAATCAAGCAAGAATTGGTTTTAACATTTTCTCATACCATTTTTATATCCTAGATACACTAGGTGTGAGCTAATGCATGAGAATTCATCTCTATAGCCCTACCCATTTTATATCACAACCATAGGTTGGAAATAAACCTAAATTGGAGAGAACCTTACCTCTTGTAGTGTAAGCCTGTGTAGTAGAAATCCCAAACACCCCAAATCAAGCCTTCCAAGCCTTAGCCTTTAATTCTCGTCTTTGATTTTTTGGAGAAGAGCGCTATCTTTGGTATGGTTATGTAGCTCTCACTACATAGAGCAATTTTAATTATTGGCCCGAAGCGATCCAACAATTGGATCTCCACGGATCTAAGAAGGAAGATAGAAGGGAGCTTGGAGAATTTCTCTCTTTATCGAAAAATGCAGGCTAAGAATGGAGGAAAATCATATTTTCCCCCTTTAAATACTCCTTTGAATGCTCGACTCTCGTTGCACCACACGTCTCAATTTAACTAGTCCAATTTTATTCCAAATTATTTAAATCTCATCCCACGCTAAGTTTAGTATATTTTTATTGAACTAATTTTAAATTAATATTTTGGGTCTCGCTAATAAAATTTAATCGCGTTTATTTTAGTCACGCGACACCGAATCACATCATAAAACGCTAAAAATCTGACTGTTTCAGAATTCAAAGAAAATTAGCTAAGTAGTTAGATTTCACAATACAAATTCAACGGTAAGATTTGTTTCGTCATCCAAGTTCTATAAAAATTTGGGTTTTCAACCCGTACTATAACAACTAATTATTATTTTGTTCTTTTCAATTAAGTTTTAATTATTCTGAGTTTTACACTCACACTAGAAGTACATAGAGCAATAATATTGTGCAACTAAGATTCTATTAAGTCTTATAGTTTATGGAGCAACTTCACTTTTTTTTTTGTTTAGAAACTTCTTTGAAAAGTTCATAGTTCATGAAAAATGAAGTGTTTGTTGTAGGGTTTAGCTACCCCATCGCCCTCCACAAATTTTGCTTTAATTGTATGTCAACAATGAGTCTATGTTGTTCATGTTCACGAAATTGTTCAAAGGAGCAAATTAGGGAAAATATATGAATTGAAACTAATAAGGTGAAGCTGGTCTATGCAAGTTATGTGTGTATGCTGGTGTGTGTCTGTGTTCGATTATGTGTGTGTATGTGCAATCTCTGTGATTATAAGACAGAGGTGAGAGAGACAGGGAGGTACTTGGTTGACCATGGTAAAGGAACGACTGGGTTGGGCAAGAAACGACTATGGTAGAGGAACAACTACTAAAGCCATGGCATAGTGAGAAAGAGAGAGAGAAAAAAAAAGAGAGAGGACACCTAGGGTGGTGTGTGTGGTGCTAAAGTTGGGTGGGATTTGGGTTTTGATTGAAATGGATTGTGAGCCATTGAATTTAATTAGATGAATTTAGATAAAGTTTGAATCATTTACTTAAAATTCAATCATTGATTTTAATTTAGAAAGTTTGAAATCACCTCTATCTTATTATTATTATAGATTTATAACATAAATTATATATTTTCTTTTGACAATTATCATTTAAAATAGTGGTATGTTCCTTGTGATAGGAAACTTTATCGCTGCACAGTTATGGAAAAGGCGAAATATTGGGCCTATTTGATTTGCGTTTCAAAAAATAGTATCGAAAAATAGTTTTTGAGAAGAGTTTTAAGAAAGTGGTTTTGATATTTTTTTAGATAAAAAACTTGTTTGGTTAGATGATTTCAAAATCAATATTACAATACAGAAAATAGTAAAACCTGTTTGGACAGTTTAAATATATATTTGAACAATAATTTAAATATTAATAAAAAAATATAAAAAAATTATTTTTATATTGACAATTTCATAATATATATATATATAAATATGTATATATATAAATATGTATATTTTAAATATATATATATATATATATATATGTGTATATATATATATAAATAAATATGTATAAATATAAATATAAATATAAATATATAATATATATAAATATGTATAAAATATAAATATACATGTATATATATACATATATATATAAATATATTTTTATATATATACTAATATATATACATATATACTTATAAATATATATACCAATATATATATACACATATAAATATATATATTGGATATATACGTATAACTATATATAAATATACGTATATGAATATATATATATATATATATATATATATATATATATATATATATATATATATATATATATATATATATATATATATATATATATATATATATATACATATTTGAACATCCAAAATTGTTCTCCTTATTTCTAAAATTTTCAAAGAAAATTCTGAAAACAAGATACTCTTGTTTTCTATTTCTTTGACTTAAATCTCATTTTTTAAAAAAATTTAGAAAATAAAAATATTAAATAAACAGATTTTAAATATTTTTAAAATTTTGAGAATAAAAAATTATTTTACAGAAACTAACCAAACACCCCCAAATTTCCAAAAAAAATCCGGTATAAAAAAGAGCATTATGTTTGAATTTCTGTCGAATAAGGTTTTGAGCTGTGTCAGGTTAACAGCTCGTGTACTTTCCGCCCAGCTACAGCGACCACAAGTAACCCACGTCTGTAGTTCACAAGTTCTTTGGCGAAAAGAGACAGAACAGAGAGGCGCGGGCGAACACCGCAAGCTTCGGTGTCTCCGCCTCATTCTCTCTCAAACGCAGTGGCCCACACATATATGAACTTTCGTTATTAAATTGTCCACCTAAATTCCCGAATTTCCTCTCCGAGTCCAAACCTTCTCCGCTAGATATTCTCCAATTGAGTCTCTCCATATATGATCCATTAAAATGTCGGTGGTTTCGAACTTTACAGCGTGCCAGGGCGGTCAATTATCGGTTGCTTTAGCAGATAACGGGTTAAGGAGAGGGTCTGCGTCGTCGATCAATCAAATGGCGAAGTTTTCGAGGCCTTTTGTGGTACATAATGTTTCACAAACTTAAGCATTTGATGAGATGCCTTAATTTGCATTTTGTTCTTTATGGGATTTCTGAACGAGGGTTGTAATGTCTTGCTGCATGTATTTGGTTTTGTTTTTAGGCAGCTGCTATGTTGTTTCAATGCCTAGAAGTGTATTGACGCCATTTTAAAGTCGTATATTTGGTGAACTTCTGTACTTACGCCAGAAATGGTACTAAGAAGAAAAACCTAAGTTTAATAGAGGCACAATACATTCTTAAATGATTTGGATGACACACATTCGTGGGTGCATTGGCAATTGAATTAAGACACAAGTAATCCTCTTCTCGTTGCATATCTAATAAAAATCATGGTTGCACACAAAGTGAGTTGTTATGAGGTTCTATAGTTTATATTATTCACTGCTGAATTGATGAAATTAAAGTAGGAATTAAAATAAGTAGAAGTTTTGAGAAAAATTTTAAAGTTAAAAAAGATTTAAGATAAGGTAAAATACTGAATATATGTTTACCTTTATCAAATTAGTAATTCAATATGGAGAAGTAATGATTGAGGATATGAAAGAGATATCAAAGAGGAAATACTTTTGATATTTGTGGTCAATTATCCATTGGGGGATATTATGACAATTAAGCCAGTGCTCTCATGAGACAAATTGGGTGTGAAATTCAGAGGTATAGGAAGACGATCTTACTCATTGTATTAAAATAGGAGAGACTGAGTAGAGGAAAGGATCTGGTGTATTATGAGATCAATTGTACTCCTAAACTGAAAGGTAAGTCTTCAAAGACAGTAATTAGATCAATAATTTTTTATAGTACAAAATGTTAGGTAACTAAGAAACATGCTGGGAAAACAGATTTTTTATTGTGTTTTTCATATGGGAAAAAAAACATGTTCAAAAATTAAGTGCAACTAATATATGGGTGTTAAAAAATAGATTTGTGGTAAAATGAAAAAGATAAAATTAAGAATGCGCATGTTCGTAAAACGATAAAAGTAGCTGTGTCTTTTATACACACATTCCTTAGTTTTATTTTTTCCAAACAAATCATTGAACTTGTGTTGAATCCTTAAATAACCATTGAACATGGGAAAAATCGTAAAAAATTAAACTTTTGGAAGGAAGCCAAATTTGAAGCAAAGATAAGTATGTATGTTGAACATTGTTTGCTTGTGTACTTAGCTATTGTCTAACAACTTTCCAAAAATTTCATTGAAGTTTTTTGCATTATTTGTAGGCTCATGCGATCTTAGTATGGTTAGGGGTGTATATTATTATTTTTTTCCAGTGGTATTATGAGTTTTTTCTTTACGAAGGGATTTATTGTTTCTGTTTTCTTTTGTTGCTTGTATTAACTTTTGTACTTTTGCTTGTAAGGGTACTTCCCCAGCTTTAATTTTCCCCTATAGATAATCCTAATTGTTAAATGAGGAAACTTGTTCATTTTAAGTGCATAGATTTACTAGTTGTAATGTGTAAAAAGCATTTATTTTGCATCCAAGCTTATTTCATGACATTGTATTGGGGAGATAGACATGATTTGCATACGACTCTCCTTCACATTCGAGTAACACTCAACTCAACAAATTCTTATCTCAATTAACTGGGTTGGATACATGTTCTATTCCTCCATTGTGCCTTATGAAAGACATTCTAGCCACACATATACTAAAATATTATCCTGTCGCACATGAGCAGTACTGTCACTGACGTCAACATGCTGTCATCATCTAGGCGATGACGTTAGTGACTCCGATTTGATTCCAATATTCTATTGAGTGTTCTGGTGACTCCTAAGTGCCGATGAAGTGCTTTGATACCAAGTTAAAATCTCAAAGTATTAGATTTTAGGGTTTAGAGTCTAGAATGGAGAAGAGGCAAGAGCGGAAAAGAGAAAGGATGAGAGAAAAGACGACGTTTAAAATTAGGGATAAGAAGAATGAGTTAACTAATCTCTCACCTCATCACCCACATTTATATTAATTAAAATAGCCTAACATTCTATAGATGACTAAGAAATGAGGGAAAGAAAATGAAAAATGAGAAAAAGAAAATATAAACTGTCCAAAGATTAAATTATCCTTCTCATCTAATGCCTTCAAAATTTCATTGAGCATTTTGTCCATACAAATTGGGAGAACTTGCTAATATCTCTCTGTAGTTGGGGACTTTAGCAATACCTTTATGTATTTTTGCCAAATTGGAGTCATCATTTGTTGTAAATGCATCCATGTTAAACATGTAATCTTTCAGATTCATAAAAATAGCTCAATGGTATTTTGACGTGAAACATTTGTTCCTGATTATTTATGACATGGCGTTTGGGGGAAACTGATTGTGTAAAGCAAGTTGCTTATTATTTGCAGAACGAAAAATTCCAGGTTTCCCGGTTGGCTGTTACTCACCTGAGGAGGGTCTTCCAAGGGCGAAGTATTCAAATGACAGTAGTAGATGAGAGGCTGGCACATGGAAAAGTCATGGTCAAGCCTTCTGAAATATTGGTAATGAAACTACTTATTTCACCCACCCACCCACACACACACCCCCCCAAAAAAAAAACCAGAGAAAGACACAACAAAAATATGTGAAGATGCAAGGCATGGGAAGCTTGGTTGTTTTTGATATGTACATGTTTGTGTCTATCAATTGATTAAATAATTTCTGTGTGCAGGCATATGACCTTGTTCAAGGAGCACTTGTGAGTCATATGTATTCCTCAATCTCCTCATTACAGATGGATATTTTACTGTCTAGATATCAATGTGCAACATTTTTTTAAAAGACCTGTTATTGCACTTGTGAAGAGTAGTGATCTGATACCTATTGACTGTAAAGAGAGAGGCAGAGCAAGATGGAACTTTTCTTTAAATGAGATATAGAAAGGATATAATAAATAGCCTATGATTTAGCATAAAACATGATTTTTCATAGTGCACAATAGCAAAATAGGATTCATAAAGTTGGTCCCAAGTTGGGACAAAGCTTTGTTGAGGTGAGTGTATGTGTTTACCAATGTTAAGTTTCTTAAATGCTCATTGTGTGTTTTGGGCATTTAGTGCATCTGCTTCTATGATTGCATTGAATACCTTGGTATAATTGCTTATGTTTCTCTGTTCTTAATCCCTATTTCTATGCCCTCTTCACTTGTTACTTCTTTGCAATTAAGATACTGTGTACCAATTCTTCAATCGAAAATCACTCAATTTCTGCATCAAAACCCAACATTGTTGACATATTCCTAATCACTGACCAATTAGTTTGCAGACAGACACTATCATACTGTAGTGCTGAATCCTGAGAAGATTTTGCCCCTGCAACATAAGCAAGGCATTTCCTTGAGGAGGATTGGCCTTGAATGGAGGAAAATGTTATGTAAGCATGCTGAAAGATTAACACTAATCTATCTTCATTTAGGAGTGATGGTGTCTAGCATAGTAATGAATAAAAGATTAAAGCACAACAACAAATAGCTGATCATGTGGGATCATGCTCTGTCTTTTTGGTCCACTTTATTGAGTACGACATTCCTGATTTGGCTTTTGGATCAGGATACAACCAATAACAACTTTTGTTTGTTTTAAAGTTTTTTCTATCCCAGAGCCATGATTGTATTATATAGTTTAATTAAGAACTTGCACACATCTCCAAAAAAAAAGAAGTTTGCAAACTTATCTCATTTGTCGTGTTATCGCAGACAATTCATAGGTTTTGCCACTGTAACTGGGGGCATTTTGAGGACAAGATGTACATATTTATAGAGAAGGTTTCTTTTAAACTAATGGAAAACTGGACCTGCGGGGGTGAGGATGGATTGGGTAATCCCTCGGGGTTGTGTTTTCCTGTTTGTGGAAGAATATGGAGGTTTTGGGAGGGGCTGTCATACTCTGGAATTATGTGGTTATGAGTTATGATAATTCTATGGGCAGTTTGGATGGAGAGAAATGGTACAATCTTGGATGACAAAGTTAGAGTTTGTAGAATTTCAATGGGAAAGGGTGAAGTTTTTGGCTTCTCTATGGGCATCGATCACTAAAAGAGTTCCAGACTAACCTTTCTTTTTTTATTCATCACAATTAGATTGCGGCTTGTGGCTAATGTTGCTTGGTTTCTTCCCTTATTGTGATATTCTGTTTTTGTCCTTTGTTGTAGTAATTGTTGGATTCCTTGTCTACCCCTTTTGTACTTTTTCTCTTCATTGACAAAATTCTCATTTCTTATGTAATATAGAATAAAAGGAAACGGGACCCATATATTTTTTTATAAATCCAAAACGTGTTTGATTTCCCCTCTGCATCAGACCCTGTTTCAATCAATACTTAGCTAGGAAATAAAGTCTGGAATATATAAAGAATGAAACCTTTTGCGCTAGTGAAGATACTCCTCGTGTACAGGGTTGCACCCCTTGGCTTTGTTTGAAATACCTACCAAACCAATCAAACGAAGTTTTGTCCCAATCTGGGTTCTGCTCTGAGTCATTTTTTTGCTTTCAGTGAATAGTTATGAAAAATTGTCACCTCTGTGGATGTTAAGTTATCCATGTGGAATTTTCTGTTTAATCTCGATTAGGACATGAAGAATATAGACGATTCACAGACTGGTGTGTTTCTTATTGATCTTCTTATATAGACATATGGGACATTTTATGCATATGAAATTTGGGTGCCCAGGTAAGATGGAGTTATATTATGGACAAATCAGTTCCTGATCCTCCAACAGCTGTTCTTCTGCATGGCATACTAGGTAGCAGGAAAAACTGGGGTAGGTGCTTACTCTATACTTTTGTTCTATTTTCTAAGATTTATCTTAAAATGATTGAAAGTTTTATTTTCTCTTGTTGCAATTACAAGCTAAGGTTGTATGACATGATTGTGTATGATGCTCTCATAGTGTGCATGTCTTCTCTCCTTCGTGCTACTTCCCACAAAAAGGATTACACAATATCAATTGAGGACTGAAATGAGGTTTCTTTCCTCATCCGGTTCCCACGACTGAAATGATATGTCCTGAGTTTTTATACTTCACACAGTCACATTACTTTGTTAAAAATTGCTTTGAACAGAGTGGCTATATTGCTTGGTAGATTCAGATCAAAACTTTGTTCTGTTGCATGTTTTGGTTTGCTTGAAACAGAAACTTTTTGTAAGCATAATTGAGAAAAGATTTAAATTCTTTGATTCCACAACATTCCAAACATTGGATGAAACATTGTGAAACATGAGAATTTCACTTATTTTTTTGGTAAATGAACTTTCGATCCTTGATAGTGCCTATGAAAATCTGGGCATATGGGCTTGTGTTGGTAGGGAAGGTGGTGGCAAAGAAAGATTAAAACAAAGATTGGAGAATGAGAGAAAGAAAAGAAGGGAACAAATAGTTACAGTTAAGAGAGAAGGTTAAGTGGGTATGTCCCCAGAGGTACATGACTTTCACTCCGGCTGTATAACATAAAACTCACAACCTCATTTTTCCCCAATATTCATGTTGTTAAAATGTCTGCACCTCTTTCCATACAGAGGGTTACACTTGAGTAGTAGTAGATAACTAAAACAAGTAACTTCAAGAGAAGTTGTTACGTTTGGCAAGCAATCTCCAATTATCTCAATTGTCTATGTCAGGTAGTAGGCAATAAGGTAAGTAACCGAAAAGTGTGACAAATATATGATAATTTTGTGTAGAGTTGTTGACAAGCTAGGAGGTGACAACTTGGTAACAACCAAGGAGTCGACAAGAAGGATTAAAATTTCGTTTCGTTTCCATGAAACGACTGATACGTTTTTGGTTTCCCAGTATGCACACCAGCCAATAGGTTTGTTTGGATCTTAATCTAGATCTTCTCTTCAAGGTGTGAGGTTGGATTATATTATAAAGGTGGAATTTGCCTTTGGATCTTAGGGGATCCAGTGTTTTTCAAGGATCTCTTAAGGTTAGAGAGGTAGATTTTAGGCTCACAAAAGAGATACCATAGTTTGGGAAGGCTCCCCCTATTTATAGGCTTGAAATAGGAATAGTGTTGGGAATGAAGTAAACCAAAATTTCCGAACGATTGTTCGAGCAGTGAGAGGGAATTCTAACTATAGTAGAAGAGTAAAGACCGCTTGAGCGACTTTAGGACCGTTCGAGCATCTTAAGACCAACCTAGAGGGTGGTCTCCATTGCCCACTCATTCAACCCTTCCTGATTTTATCACTAAGTGTTCAAAGAATGTTCTAGCCAAAGGCAAGCGAGCGGAGGGTAGTCTCTACTAGTTTTTAAGCTAGAAACCAAGCAAAAACTTATCCTCTTGAGCACTAAAGGCAGTTGGTCAACTAGAATCCAATTATTGACTTAATAAAGGTTTAGAATTTTTTTTTTAAGAACACTTGGGAGTCATTAACGGATCAATTATTGATTCTATTTTTCCTTAACCATCCTAAGTTTAAAATTAAATTAAGGGTGCTAAGGTCTCTAAGGTAGTACCTTTGTCCTTAGTATGAAGGTGCATTCGACGTGTCTTTGATGTGTCTTGTAGCTTAAACTTCTCCCTTCATTTGACGTTTTCGGATCTTGAACGTTGTAAGATCATGATCATATAATAGGTTGAGATCTACAAAAGACTTTACAAAATTAGTCAATTAGAAACATGATCCTTACACAAGAAATGCTCAAATAATATATAGCAAGCAGTCTATTGGAATATAGGTACAATTCACTATTGGGGTCGGTTGGCTAGCTTGTTGTATTAGATTGGTTTGTTAGTTTATTTAATCTGTTTTTTACACCCATGGAACCGGGGGTGATATCTATGTCTAGTTCATGAATTTTGAATAAACATACTTTTTTTTGTTTAATGATGCACAAACCCAACTCGTCTTATCGCCAACCTTTAGTTGTAATGCTCCAACCCGTTTACTCGCACGCTTGTGGCTTTAAAACTCATATTGATAGTTAAGGGAGGGCTATCACATAAATAGCCAAGTAACTTGCTCTCTCTTAGTGATTTTGGGATGGCATATAAGGCATATTGGATTGTTGGCCTCTTGGCTACCATAATCTACCCCCATTTGGGACACCTACCACCATGACAAAGGAGAGCCCGCACTGATACCACCGTGTAATGCCGTGGCTCCACCATTAAGACATTGCTTGCAAACTCACGGCTTTAAAACGTGCCTTGATAGTTAAGGTAGGATGTCACGTAAATAGCCTAGTAACCTTTTCTCTCTTGGAGATGTGGGATGGTGTACATGGACTTGACACCTCAACCTTACCTCACCCCACCCCAGCCCATGCCACTAAAGAGGTTTTTTAGACTATTAGTTTTTTGGCTACCGCATTAATATGACCTTAATATACCAGACCTCTGTTAAACCAACTCCTTGTGCACTAGCAAGTTCTACTAAACTAATTCATGCGCGTGAAATTGTATAACCCAATGGACTTTCATGGTTACAAATCTAAATTCTTACAAATAAAAACAAGTCCAACCTCTTCCCAGCAACTCTACTACCCCTATATGCATGACCACTCATCTTTGCTATATTCGAAATCTAAGAAACAAACGTTGACACAGACACGGGATATGGATACGACACGAACATAGACACGCCAACTTGAAATGTTTCAAAAAAGTAGGATATGGACACGTTAAATATTATGTGTGTGTGTATATATATATATATTAAAAAGTATAAATATTTAAGATACACCATCTCTAGTAGTTTAAGTTTTTAGAGTAGATAGCTGGTTAACATAGTATTAAAGCAGGAGATCTAGTGTTTGAATCTTGCTGCCAACTTAATTATTGAAAAGATTTCTACATGCTAGTTCCAAAATTGAGTTGTACGTGAGGAGTCATGTTGAAGTATAAATATTTAAGTTACACCGTCTCTAATAGGTTAAGCTTTTAGAGTAGATGATTATTTAACAAATATATATATATATATATGATCATTTAATAAAATAAATATATTTTGATAATAATCGTTCATTTCATCTTGTCCTTAATTTTAACAATTCTCATCATAATATTGAATAAAAAATACAATATCACAGATACCGATATACATTCATTATAAACATGCATGATTTAACAATTAATGACTACTATAATTTTCGTTTTAAAAGATATCCCACTTCGTAATCCTAGCTTTCATATATTTCAAAGAGCCCCAAATTCATAACCCCATTTTTCATCATACTACTTTCATATAGAAATTTTATTCTAGTTGTATATAATTTCGTTTGTGTTCGAAATTATGTTATATCAATGTCCTATTTTCATGTAGTGATTATAACTCTTTTTATATTATGCCTTTGACCCATATCTCTTTAAAATTAAAAAATAACTTAATTATAATTACTTGGCAAGTTTTCAAAATGTTGAAAAAAATCTCCAAACGTGTCCTTCAGCATGTCCCTAACGTGTCAGTCAAGAGCACCCAACATGTCCAATATATATGCGTTCTGAAAAAAATTGGACACATTTAAATGAGTGTCCGACACGTGTTCAGAGCGTGACGTGTTCGACACTGACACTCTGACCCAAATAGAGTGTCCGTGCTTTGTAGCTCAAACCCATTATTATGAAATTTACTCATGCAGCTACAAATGGCCACTGATCTCTAGACTTGGGATATGCATACCCATTACCATAAAGGTCATTCATGCAAACACGGCTGTAGGAACTAACATACCAGCGATCTGTTGATGTTTCCATTTTAAATGCTTACAATGCAGACTGGCAACAGGAAAAAAATCCACTTACCATACGGAGGACTTTACCCTTCCATACCATTCACAGATTATCATCCTAGGTTGCAATCCAGAGTATTCTCTAGAATCAAGCCCAGCTATGACACCAAATTGTAACACCTAAATTCCTTCCCCTCCATCTTCAAATTTCAGCAATATTAATCTTTTCTAGAGCCATTGGTCTATTTTTTTTGTTAATTTTTACAACTTGCAACATGGACACTTCCTCATCTCTTTTTCTTCTCTCTTTATTTTCTTGTTATTGTTTCGTTTTATTATTTTTCTAACTCTATTACATTCCACCCTCTAGAAGCCATTTTTCTTTTTTCTTTTTCTTTTCAATTTCTTCTATGCGACACACACTGCCTGCTCCTCCCTCCCCTTCCATCTCATTATCTATCAATTTTTATAATTATTTTTTGCTGGCCATGACTCATTCTTCGCTTCACTTACAGTGGTTACGCATTAAACAAGCAGGTTTGGTTGCCACATCCTTATTTCCCTCCTCTTTTGTTTACCTATTTTTCGAGTCTCGTACCTTGCTACTCTTCTTCAAGGATCAATACCAGAATGTAATAATGTAGCAAGTATAATCTTAAACCTGCCGATAGCTCTGTGCACCAACATTTATATGCATGTAATGTCATTTGATATTGCAGATAGAGTTCCATAATTTAATAATTCATAGATTGGCCCCACAAAATTTGCCACCTATAAATTTGAAATTATTTCCTACACTGGGGGTCTGGGACAAAAAATTATTATTACTCTTCAGTGCCTTCAAATTCTCTAATGTTGTTTACCTTCTAATTCAATCGAATCTCTAGTTTCTTAGTTTTTTAAAATTCTTCTTTCTATGCCGTTTTGCAATTTACATCAAGCACTATGAAAAATAGTTCCAGTTCATCTCTGTAGTTGTTGCTTTAAAATTCACTTTTGTATAGGTCATATCTGTTGGGATTTGAATTTCAGGTCCTTGATCTTAAATAGGACAAGACAATCAATAGAGTAGATTTGTCTGGTTGCTTTGGGATAGGCCTACTTTATGGGCTCTCAATCTGCCTGTCTCTCTCTCTCTCTCTCACACACACACACACATCTCAAATAGCATATTCTTTAATGGGATATCCCAAATTTGATCATTTCTCTCTCTTTGTCTCCCTCCTTTGTTTTGTTTTTTTCCCCTTCACTTACTTATTGGGGGGAGGGTGGTTTGGAGGATCTTCTAGTGCTACTGGTGGAGGGTTTGTTGCTCTTTTTCACTATCCAACTTACAGTTAATTTTTTTGTCATTTGAAATTTTAGCAATTTATATGAAGTGATTTTTGAAATTAGTAAGAGTTTGTTAAGAATGGTACTAACTATTGTGGAATTTAGCAGGTACCTTTGCTCGGAGGTTGGCAAAAGAATTTCCACAATGGCAGGTATCTCTGTAAATATATGCTTGGTCTATGTTGTTTCTGTATCCTTATATGATTCAAACTAACTACGCAATTTTGGCTAGTAAAAATTTAATATTTGGTATGTACCATTCTGGGCAAATTTGATTTTACTTCCCTGTGGTCAGGTCCTCTTGCACCTTATCTCCTGTCATTTAAGACCAACCTAATGACCACCCTCATGTGATTTTTGGCCTAGAATGCTACCGCTACAATTTTTGTCCAACTTAACTGGATGTGTGTGACGTGTGTATTGCAAGGATTGACATGTAGAAAAACCATTTCCCACCAAAATTGTCAGGAGACAAAGATGAAAATTGGCTCAGAAATTAGTTAGAAATGATAAAATAACTCCTCACTCTACACCTATTTATCTCCCTATTGATATGTCTCTACAATCCTAATTGTGATTCTAGCAGAGAAACCACCGAGTCCACAATCCAGGCCCTCTGATAAATGTGCACCCTCACTAGACAAGCAATAGGATTTTGCCTTCTGGTTTATCCCACATCTAATAATTACTTCTATATCAACCCGTAACTGTTAAGAATTATGGTGGGTCTTTCTTTACTGCCAAGTATTATGGAAATATAAACCTCTATTACCAAATTTGAAGAATGTAATACGCAACAAATAATGACATCACCACTGCCGGCAACAACACTGACTCCAATGCCACCACCAGGCACTGGAAACTAGCACCGCCACCACGTATACACCACCACATCCGGTATCTCTTCTGCCTCCATCTAATCTAACACCACGCACCCTATGATCCCCACTGACTACCTTTTCTCTAGTAAACATCTTCTTCTACCCCCGCTCACCACCTTCAACTCTAGCCCCCTCCACCTCTCCCACATCAACCACTTCACTGCTTTCTTCCTTTTCATCTTTATATCTGCCTGGTTCTATGGTCCCTTTCTCTCTCTGCTCTGAAACCATTGTCCTCCTCCTCAGTCACATCTCCAGAGGCAACACTTCCAATCCCATCATTGAAATCGCCAACTCTGTCTCTCTTTCACTCCCTGCTTCCTCCTCTCAAAATCTCCCTAATTGTGAGAAGGGTGTTATAATATTCAAGGTTTGAGTATTATTTGTTATTTTCATGCCAATGAGAGATTTGAGAATTTTGATCTTGTTAATGTCGCCAAGAATATTGTTGATCACATAAAACAACATTTCCCCCAAGCTGGTCTTCTTTTGTTAGATAGCAAAAAGCTTGAAGTTTAGCAAAGGGGAAGGATCAAGCCCTGTGATATAATTGTACAGGAAGGATGCAACTAGGTGTTGGAAGGTAGTTGGATCAGAGGGGAGCAACTGACTGAGCATCAAGGATACATCAACAGATATTCTCACACTGGATTACAGGTTGTTTTATATATGGGATGATTTCAAAGATTTTGATGACCACCTTGGTGAAATTAGCAAGGATGAGTGGCAAGAGAGGCACACAATAAAGAGAGATTTGAAAAAGAATGGTTTAAAGTGAGAATTAGTTAACTGAGTTGTGCATATTAGTCCAAAGCCTCACGAGAATCATTCAGTATCCAAGTGTTTTTTTGGCCCAAGGGGTGGGGGGGATGCAATTGGACCTAGCCATAGCAGGATAAAGTGAAATTTGTGCTGCTTATTCTTGTCTAAGAAGTCTAATCTCTCTCCCCCTTTTCTCTTCCTGACTATTCCACTCCAAGCAATGGGAGTGTCATGCTTCAAGTACCTCTAGACTCGATGAAAGTTGAATTTCTTCCTAAATTCTGCTTCATGATTAGAATGAGACAGCTCATATGCAATTGAATGAAGATACTCATTTCAATTTTTTTCCAATATGTGATGGTGAACACGTATGACATCATCTCTCTTTGACTTCACACAGAAAATATCTTCTTTCTATCCATGAAAAATTGGCGTGTGGTTGGCTAAAGTTCAAACGGAGAAGTTGGTTCATGGGTTAAAGCATGGTCATGAGTTTAGGGGTGAAAAAGGAATTGGTTTGCTTTGTTTAGAAATGATAGGTTGCAGAATCTGCAGAGAAACAGGTTCTGGAATCTCTGAATTGCTTCCGTTCAAGGTTTGGGGGTTGTTTGGATGGCGATCATGTTGGGATAAAGCTCAAGATCAATGTAAGTTTGATGGGAAGGAGTTCAGGAGCTGAAATCGAGGTCTCAAGATCAATGTAAGTTTGATGGGAAGGAGTTCAGGAGCTGAAATCGAGGCTTTTTGGGCGTTATGAACAGTATCTAAGGACGGTAATTAATTATGGTCAAAGTGTACTTCAGGCTTAAAAGAGGAGAAGGAAAAGGGAAGGGCTGCTTCGCCCTAGAGGGACTGGCAAACGCGAACTCACACTACACAATTTTGAAATATTCAGTATCAATTGAATTCTATGATAGTAAGGCTCTAAGGTCACACACACATACCCACACTTATGAGTGAAAGATTTTGGGGTCTAGACTGTCTTGGGGACCATGCAAATTTTATGGCCAAGTAGAACAAAAGGCTTCAAATAGAGTTTTGGAAACCTGCTAAAGTCTTCCAAAATGACCGACCCAATAGGGTAGCTTGACCCATAAAAGATCAATAAGTCACTGCTGTGACTCCATACGCTGCAAATATAAGAATTATCCATGTATACTTGACTCTAGAAACATAGCATAACAGATTATATTAATATAACTGTTATCTCAACCTATCGTAGACACAAATTCCAACTTAATTTATCATAAACATAATCAGACATCATGCTTTCATCAATTCCGCGGCCAAATCCTTAGATTAAGATGCTTAGCTGTGGTCCTGCTTCTTGGCATTGTTGGCAAGGGTGAGGTCAAAGATAAGTTTATTGTTGCGAACTTAATCAATCAAGTAATTACAGAAGTTGGACCTAAAAATATGGTTCAAGTAATTACTGATAATGCTCCTTTTTGTTCTTCTGTTGGATTAATCATTCAAAATGAGTTCTAACATATCTTTTGGACATCATGTATTGTGCACACATTGAATCTTGCCCTTAAGAATATTTGGGCTGCAAAAAATCTTGAGAGGAATGCAATATCTTATGAGGAATGCCATTGGATTACAGAAGTTTTAGATTTAGTAACTATCAAAAATTTCATCATGAATCATTTTTTGAGGTTGTTTATCTTCAATGAGTTTGTGACTTTGAAGTTGCTTGTTGTTGCAACACTTGTATTGCATTTGTTATTGTAATGTTGAAAAGATTTAAACTCATCAAGCATGGTCTTCAAGCGACGGTGATTAGTGAAAAATGGTTTTCTTACAAAGAAGATGATGTTGTGAAAGCGGCATTTGTGAAGGAAAACATCTCAAGTGACATTTGGTGGGATAAGATAGATTATATACTTCCTTTCACATTGTCGATTTATGGGATGTTGAGTGTTTGTGGTACAGACACACCATGTCTTCATTTTGTTTGTGAAATGAGGAACACAATGATTGAAAAAGTGAAGACAACTATATATAGGTATGAATGAAAGCCAGATAATGCAAGGTCAATCTTTTATGATGTGGTACATCAAGTTATAGCTAGGAGATGGGCTAAAAGTAACGCACCTCTTCATTGTCTTGCACATTCCTTAAGTCCAAGGTGACCAACTCTCTTTTTAGTTTTTACTCTTAAAGTACTTTTTTTTATTGAGTTAGTTTTGATATATTCTAATTTTACAATATAGGTATTATAGGGCACAATGACTAGATGAAAATAAATCGTGTTCCTCCTCACAATGATGAAGAGATTTCATCTATGAGAAGTAAATGCTTCCAAAGATACTTTTCAAATCCACAAGAGAGAATGAAGGCTAATATCGAGTATGCTAAGTTCTCTAATTGTTTGGATCAATTTGGAGATTACAACTTAAGAGTAAATCGAGGATTAATGGACCCTCTCATATGGTGGTTTTCTCATGGGTCTCTGGCACCACTGCTTCAATCTTTAGCATTGAAATTACTTGGCCGACCTTGTTCCTCATCTTGCTGTGAAAGAAATTGGAGTACTTACTCTTTCATTACTTCCATGAAAAGAAACAAAATGACACCACTTCGTGCTCAAGATTTGATTTTTGTACACAACAATCTTCGTCTCTTATCGAGGAGGAGTAAAAAGTACGTGGAAGGAGATACGAAGTTATGGGACATTGGTGGAGATGCATTTGATTCATTGGAGGAGGGTAATGGGTTGCTTGAAGTTGCAAGTCTTTCACTTGATGAGTCAGAGATGAAAGCTATGGTATTCCAAGATGGAGGGGATAGAAATGAAGATAATATTAGGGAAACATCTTAATAACAAGAGGGGACTATTTTTTGTTGCTTGACTTGTAATCGGATGACTTCGTTTAAGCATGGACATGATATTATGTAATATGTATGTGTAGAATGTATGATTTATGAATGATAGAATTGTTAGTTATTATTATATATCTTTGATAGATGTGTGATTCACTTTATAAATCATAATTTTTATATTAAATATAATAATAAAATTTTTAAAAAAATATATTTTATGAACGTATCCTATCCATACCCATCGCTTTTTTTTTTTTTTTAAGGTTTTGCCGTATCAGTGTCCGTGCTTCATAGGTCTTAGTAGACACACGGATATATACTTATTGACATCCATGCATATAGTTTGTTAACCTCATATACTAATTAATGTGGTTTGCCTCTTATTTTCTTGGTGCAAATAGTCAAACCAATAGTCTAACGTTAAGATTGAAAGTTATCCTCTAATTTTTTATTCACAATTTTCATTTAGTTCTTGAATTGTGTTTTATTCTTTTGTTTACTTTTTCTTTTTTGTTTTTCTGGGATCTTTGTGTTATATAATTTGGATTTGAGTGCACAAAGCTTCTTGGTTAATTGCATATGTCAAAACCATACTTTTGCTTGTATATTTTTGTTACAGTTCATCTTGGTAGACCTGCGGTGTCATGGTGATTCGGCATCTATCAAGAAGAGGGGTCCCCATACTGTGGACTCAGCTGCTCTTGACGTCTTAAAGCTTGTGCGTATTGCTTATTGCTTTCATATTATCTATCATGTGCATGAATATCTATCTCCACTTATTTGGGATTTTTTGAATTTGAAAAAAAAAAACCTTTCTCAACTGTTTGCATTTTATGTGCCTGCTGATTTTATCTGATTATGCACTATAGAAGCATTACTCCTTTTCCATTCTTTTCTTTTGATTGAAACTACTGTTTTTTGCAGAGTTTTTTGTTTGACTAGTATTTAAGCACTGTAAAACGTAGAATTTGGCTCGCCAAGTATTAATATATTTCATATTTTTACCAAGGGAGTAAAACCAGAGTCTAAGGTGGTGGAGTTTTCTTATCATGAATGCTTTGTTCTTCTCTTAACATGAATTACTGTACAAAATGCTTGGTTGAGATTGATCAAATATCATTCCAGCCTAATTTCTCATGTGGTAGACCAGGTGAAGTATTGATAATTTGGATGATAGAGTGCTAAAAGGGGTTGAGGTGGTTTTGGGTAGTTATGGTATCTGCTAACTTTTAGGGTCCTGAAGAAGGTGAATGGTGGCTATCTGTGATTTATGGACTTAATTCCCCTAGGATGAGAGAATTTTCGTGGGAGGAGCTTTATAAGCTATATGGTTGATGTGGTTCTAGGTGGATACTTGGGGGGATTTTAATGTTAGGTTTTTGTTAGTAAAGATGAATGGACATAGGAGTACCTCAAGCATGAGAAAAGATAATGGTTTCATAAGCAACGTAGTTTGATTGATCCTGCTTTGTTATATGCCAATTTTACTTGGTCAAATTTCTAGGATAACTTGAGATGTAGTATATTGGATCGATTCTCTTTACTTTAGGATGGGAAAAGCTTTTCCCCACTGTTGGGATAAATTTGATTATATGATATGCCTTCTTTCTGGGCCCAACAACTATAAATCATATGACAAACAATCCAACAAGATCATTCAATGCAACCATAACCTATATATAATAATATATCGATCTAGTGTGTCTAAACTTTGAAGATCCAATAATAAGCCGTCACACAAATAAGGCACACAATTTTTAATGTGGAAACCTTCTCAGGAAAAGCCATGGACCAAATCTAGCCTAATCCTCCAATATTGAAAGCGGCAATAAAAACTCACACAACTCCTTGTAACGTATCCTCTTGTTGTGTACTCCTCTCGACATACTCCTTGTAGGTTAACTCGTAGATCACTAGCTCCTTCGGCAAAGGTTAACCCCCAAGAATGCTGCTAACACGTCGTCCTTTGAATGATCTTCCTCCTCAGATCTTCAAGACTTTCTCTTGGTTTTGTTAAGTTTGAGAAAGTTGGCATCTCTTTAACTTTTGGTTGACTAGGTTGTTCACACAACACTCAAAGTACTTTAACACTAATTCTCGGGTCAAATTCTCTAGAACACCTTTGTTGATTTGAAAATCATCGAGAAAAATGTTGTGTCCTAGGTTTGATCTCTCAATATTTTGCTCTAAATACTTAAGGGTTGATCTCTAGGTTTGAGAAAGCTGACATTGCTCGAGAGTGCGTTTTCTTGTTCGAACATGCTTGGGCTCGCTCGAGCACCAAGGGAGTGAGAAATGAGTGTGAGTTATAGTAATTCACCAATCCCTATACCAACTTTCTCGCTCTAGTAGGAGTCCCATGCTAGGCAAGCACCAGCTATTGGTAAACATCCAAAACTGGTCCAAATGATCTCAAACAAGTAGTCTTAGGTTTTACTTGAATGTGGTCTATACTTGGGCCTTATTGTGACTCTAAAAATTAAGTTTTTCATACCAAAAATGTAAGGTTAAGTATATATCACATAAGTGAAGTCTTGAAAATATTTTTCAAATATATCCAAGGTTCACGAGGGTATATAAGTTCACTTACAAATCCTAACCGAATTATGAAGGCCATGCATTTAACTTGATCATTTTCATGAATCTTTCACGCCATTCTTCAACTTAATATCATTCAACTTGAATTTCTTCAATCTGCAATGCAAGGACCACAATATCCCTACCAACCTTAACTAACTTGATCCTTGTGATTCACGAAAATATGCCAATTACGAACAATACATTTACACAATGTCTTCTAGATTTGAGAATATGTGGATTGATTATCATTGTGTTGTAGATAATTTTACAAATTGGTAGTCAGATACTATTGTGGAGGGTGGGAATGCTTCAAGTTTATGAAAAAGCAAAAATTAGTAAAGGAACATTTTTTTGGAGTGGAATAAAAAAGTGTTTGGCGATATTTGATTGAAGAAGGAATGCATTTTGAAAAGAATTGGGGAAATATACTCTTTGCCGGGTATGGGGGGTATTTTAGAAAATCTGAGAAGGGAGGGATGTGATTAGATAAATTTTTTAATTTTGTTTATTAAAAGAGGAAACTACTTAGAGACAGAAAGCAAAAACTAAATGGATCAAAGAGGGAAATAAGAATTCAAAGTTATTTCACAGCTGTTAATGGAAAGTTAAAGAAGAATTTGATTACTAGGTTGGAAAATGAGTCAGGGGAGGTGCTTGAGAGTGAGAGCCTTATTGCTAGTGAGATTGTGAATTCCGTTACTAAGTTATATTTGCGGAGCATGGGGGAGGACCTAGTATTGAGAGACCTTTTGAGGAGGTGAGGTTAAAGCAGTTGTGTTTGAGTTGAGTGGTGTTAAGTCCATGGGTCGAGAAGGTTTTACTATGATTGTCTTTCAAAAAAATTGGGAGGTAGTTAAGAGTGATTTAATGAAAGTATTTGAAGAATTTTTTGAGAATGGTTTGGTTATGCTTGCACAAATGCTACTTTAATTTGTCTTGTACCCAAGCAAGGGTAATCAAAAGGTTAAAGGATTTCAAGCCTATTAGCTTAGTCTCTAGTCCTTATAAGATCATGGCTAGAGTCCTTTCGAAGAGAATTAGAGAAGTTTTGAGTGAGACTATTTTGACTTCCTAAGAGGCTTTTTTTAGGGGAAGATAAATTTTGGACATGGTGCTTGTGGCAAATGAGATTGTTGAGGGGCATAAAGAGAAAAGAAAGAGAGTTTTATTTTCAACGTAGATTTTTAGGAATCATATGATATGGTGGATTGAGAGTTTTTAGACCATGTAATGAAAAAGAAAGACTTTAGTTCGAAATGGAGGGCATGGATTAGGGATGTTTAAGGATAGTGAATTTTTGTCACAATTAATAGGGCTTCACAAGGAAAGCTTTGAGGCAAACAGGTGTCTCGCTCTCACTTCTCTTGTGTAATCTAGTCGTCAATGTTTTGAGTAGAATGATGGAAAGAGCCTGTAGTAGAGAGGTTATTGAGGGCTTTAGGATTGGTAGGGTGAGAGTGAAGGTTACTCATTTATAATTTGTGGATGACGATATATTTTTTTTGTGGAGGGGAAAGAATTATTCGTTCCGTTGCCTCAATTTCATCATGTTTTGAGTTATGTCCCGACCTAAAGTTAACTTGTCTAAATGTGCTATTGTAGGGATCAATGTGCATCAACATAAGTTGCTTAGAGTTGCTGGGGCTATAGGGTACTCTATTTAAGAGTGGGCACTAAAGTATTTGGGTTTACCTTCTAGCGGATCCAACGTTTGTAAGTTTTTGGGCGTTAGTGATACAAAAGATTAGAAAGTAACTTTATGAGTGGAAAAAGACATTTTTTGTCTTATTTTTTTTTTTCCCGGGGGGTTTCTTTTTAGAATGTTGTTGAAAGTAGTTGAAAATGATTGAAAAACTGATGAGGCAAATTTCTTGGAAGTTAGACGTGAAGGTAAGAAAGATCACTTGGTTAATTGGAAAGTGGTGTCCCGATCTAGTTGAAGGGAGGTCTTGCATTGGAAAACATAAAGCTAGAAATATTTCTTTGCGTGGTAGATGGTTATGAAGATTTCCCATTGGGACTAGTAGTTTATGGTATTCGGTGACTAGAAGCAAATATAAACTTCATGGTAATGGGTGGAATTCTAATGTGAGTGGGAGGGGACGTTCCTGTCGTATTTGGAGATCCATTTGTAAAGGTCTATGTCTATTTTTGAATTATGTTTAATTTGTTATAGGGAATGGGAAAAGATTAGGTTTCCAGAGGGTGTCTGTTGTTTTGTGTGTTTGGGGGGGGGGGGTGTGTTCAGCTTTTGATACTATGTTTCCTTGATTATGTCGATTGTCTGAATGTCACAATGTTTCTATAGTTGCCATGAGTTCCTGATGGGGATCGTATAGGAATTACGTAGATATTTTAGATTAATCATGAGAGTAATTTAATATTTATCTTTTAAGTATTTTTTTTTTAACTTTTAAGGGTTTAGTTATAATTTTGATTATTTATTTATTTTAGGGTTTGTGATCTCCTTATATATATAGGATTTGTGAACTTCTTATATATATATAGGGGATACATATTTGTTGTGCTTTTAGACTTTGATTATTGATTATTGATATTGAATCTTGATATCGCTTCTTCCTAAATTCTCTCTCTATTCTCATCTCCTTCTTCTTCTTTTCTCATCCCTTTATTCTTCCCTTCTCATTCCTAATTTTTTCCTAATACGATCTATATCAATTTGGTATTAGAGCCCAATTTCGATTCGTACAAATCACAAAAAAAAAAAAAAATTCACTGTTCACGCGTGCATTGTTCATTCGAAAATACTGTTCACCGAAAACATTGTTAGTTCTAGAAGTTATAGAACTACCACCAGAAGTTTCAGAATTACAGAAACATCACCCCAGAAATTGCAGAAGTTGCAGAATCTTTCCCCAGAAGTTTCAAAATTGCAGAAACATCCTCAACAGATCCATAAAATTACAGAATCATCCCAAAAAATTTCAAAATTCCTCTTGATTATGGTATGCATACTCTCGTAGAATTTGAGACTAATATTTTTATTCATTGAAAAATTAGAGAATTTGCAAAGGATCCAAAACATATTTTCTTCTATTTAAAATTTCTTAAATTTTCAATTGCATCCTTGAACTCATTCTTATGTTATTCTCATCTTTCAAAGTCAATCATGAGTTCATATGATCATTATGATGCCTATTCATATATTTATCCAACATCAAGAATACCTCAAGTTCACAGTTTTCCACAACGTCATCACTATACCTATTCCACTCCAAGAGTTTTTCAGAGTCATCATAAAGTCCATAATAAGTTTGAGTTTTATTATGAAGATTATCTAGAATACTACTCTGGGACACTTAGGTCACATAACAGTTACCAGCGTCATGCTTCTCAAAGTCGTCATCAAGGTCAATCTGGATCAATCTTTAATGTCATTAGTGACCATTCAAAAACCCAAACTGTCCTAGAAAAAAAGGTTGCGATCTTTGAAATTGAAGTTGCCAATACTAAACATTCACTCGGCCAATTACGTGAAGAATGTAGAGGGGTGAAAAATCAATTATCTGAATTAACAAGTCAACTTTTTCACTTGAATAAAGTTCTTGCAAGTCAGCAAATGGAAGAAAATAAGGACAAGTCTCCAGTTCACCTAATGTCGGACACCCGCATAATGATAGCCATATTTTTGTTTCATTGGACCCTCATGCTTTACATCCTTCAAAACATACTTTCAATCGTTTGAACAATGATACTAGTGATGAGATTATTTTTGATCCTATCAAGTTTCCCACCTCATCGGTGTCAAAAGTTGAATCATCACTAAACATTGAACTTGAGGAAAAATCCATTCAGTTGGTTCCTATGCAAGATGTTGAGCATATTGAGCTATCTATTTTACAATTTGTTGGCAATTATTCTATGTCTACTATTCCGAATCATAATAGCATTGTTGTGGATTCTTCTTCATTTGAGATTGTTAATTTTGTTTCGGATTTTTCTCCACCTGAGATTGTTGACATTGTTCTAGATTCTACCCCACTTGAGAGTGTTAACTTTGTTTCTTTACCTACTGTCAAGTGTTTTCTTGAGTCTATACTTTCTTATGTTCAGCACTAGGGCGTTATTGTTACTCTTTTGTCATCGATATTTTGTCCCATTGAATACTTTGTGCTGAAACCTAATGAGAATTGTTTTGCTATTCTCGAGTTTGGAACTAATACTTATTTGCTTAATTTTTTATTGAATGTTAGTATTAGTCTAGATTTTTATTTGGAGGACATGCTGCTTAATCGAGGTACTCCAGCACCTCTTATTTTATTCGCAGGTGTTCATGCGGATGGAGATTTTTTCATTTATCCTGATCGATGGAAAGAAGCTCATGGTTCTTTTATTCTAGATGAGACATTATGTCATTTTCATCCTGCTCTCTTAGGGTACTTCTACTTTGAAGACTCTCCGGAGGAGAGTTTTTTTCAACCAGAGGAGAATGATGGGGATCGTGTAGAAATTGGATAGATATTTTAAATTAATCATGAGAGTAATTTAATACTTATCTTTTAAGTATTTTTTTTTAACTTTTAAGGGTTTAGTTGTCATTTTGATTATTTATTTATTTATTTTAAGGTTTGTGATCTCCTTATATATATAAGATTTGTGAACTCCTTATATATATAGGGGATATATATTTGTTGTGAGATTAGACTTTGATTATTGTTTATTGATTATTGATATTGAATCTTGATATTGCTTCTTCCTAAATTCTCTCTCTATTAAAGTCTAAACTATTTTATGATGTGTATTTAATAATCATTTCAATTTTATAATAATTTATGTCGGGTTCGTATCAACGGATCAGAGTTTACAGCCCTTCTCATTAATGCCCTAATATACACTGCTAATAAGAACAAATGCAGTCCGGTATCTGGCAGCTCCACAAATTAAAGAACCGCTCGCTGCCTTTTTCTTGTGCAGGTAGCCTAGGAGAAGAAATAGATATCGGCATAAATATAGGGAAACAAAGAGCAAATATTTTGTCTTGATAATTTGCAAGCAAAGAGGAAAAATGATAAGAGATAAAATATTAAAAAAGTTGAAAAGAAAACTCAATAGAAGTCTTGGGAAGTAAAAAGTGCAATGATAAAATGTCGCCCTCCATCAACACTCTCCAAGCAATTGAGCCCAATGATCTTTAACCAAAACAATAGCATCCCTTCAAAATCCTTTGACGTTGAAGCTCTAAAGAGAAGCTAAGAATGATATTTTATCCCATAAATCTTCCCAAGCAAACTCCTTATCCTCAAAAATCCTCCAATTTCTTTCCAACCAAACTGTACAAAACAAAGTCAATACCGCACATTGCCATCCAATCAATCTTGGCTTATTGCTAGAATCAAAACCTTCATACCCACTACAAAGCACCAAATCAAAGCTTTTTGGGCATACCCAAGGGATTCCAACAATCTCCAAAAGTCTATTCCATTAGTTTATTAACAAAAGAACAATATAAGAACAAGTGGTTCACACACTCCGCCTTGTTCTTGAAAAAAATGGACCATTGCATATGAAGAGAATATGATGGCCTTCTTTATTGGAGCATCTCTTTAGTGTTAAGTTTCTTGTGCGGAAGAAGCCATGCAAATACTTGAATCTTTAAAGGTGCCTTAGATGTCCAAATCATAGAAGGAGACTCAAATTTTAGAAGAATAGGTTGATCGATCAATATTTTAAATTTTTTTTTTTTTTTTGGGGGGGGGGGAGAATGACTTGATCCCTTGACCTCAAGAAGACAAAGTTTTTATAAGACAAGGAGAACCATTGAACCTAAGGCCCATTGATAATCTATCAATAATTCAAAGAAATATTTAAAAGAGAAATCATGGATTATCCAAAGAAGATTGATTCACATCAAGATTATCAAAATATCCCAAAAGGGAAGACAACTCTACAATTTATATATCATTCAAATTCATAAAAAATTGAATTCCGAACCAATTGGGAAAGAGAAAGAGGAACTGATGTAGATCGTATTAGAGAAGAATTAGGGATGAGAAGGAAGAAGAAAGAGATGAGAAAATAAGAAGAAGGAGATAATGTTTAATACTTAGAACACACTAAATAATTTTTTTTTTTTTTTTGTGGGTCTTGACACGAACACGACACGAATAACAATGACACGGCACGAATAACATAACATGCGGGTCACGCGAACACAACACGATTGACACTGCTCCCAGTGAAGCATATAGTAAGGTTTTTTGGGGGGCTATAGGTTTGCATGTAGTAGTTGTGATCTAAGGTTTGCATATCTCCTCGGTGGTGTGTGATCTGTAAGGATTGTGGTGAAAGCATTGATCACTTATTCTTAAGTTCCCTGTTGCGATATTTTCTGCTATAAATTGCTAAGGGAGGTGGATTTTGGTTTGAGTCATTCCACTTGATTGTGCTATTATGGCTATTTTTTGGGTGGTTGGGATGGAGAATAATAACAGAATTTTTGAAGGCAAAGATGAGGAGGTGGAGTTTTTATGTGAAAAGGTTTAATATTTGACTTTTCTTTGGGAAGCAGTAACAAAGCTCGTGAATTTTCTCTTTTGTTATTACAACATAATTGGAATGCCAGTTGTTTAATCATTGGAGTTTTTATTCTGTTTTCATTTTTCTTAATGTTCGTAGGTTGGATATGTTATCCACCATTTTGTACTTCTTCTGGTTTTTTAGTGAAATGAAAGTTTTGTTTCATATGGGAAAATGTAGTGCTGTTTGTTGCTTAGGTTTCATTCCCTCAGAATTTAACGTTTAGTTTACTTGGCATTTTAGATTAAAAATATTATTATTCTTGCTCTGGCATGAGTGATGCCTCGGCCTACTTTCTTATCTACGTTATCTTTCTTTGATAGTCTCTTATCTGTTATTTCTTATAATCTTCAATCCATTGATTGTCTTTTCCCATTTCAGACGGGGGAATGAGCTTACTCCAATAATACCCAATTGGCATTGGGAAAATAATTTCCTGTTTTAAAAATACAACATAGTATTTAAGGCATTGGTGCAAATTTGTCAAGGGATTTGGAGGGCACAAAGAACTTAAAAGTTGAAATTCTTCTTGTTGTCCTAATTAAAAAAGAAAAGAATGAAAGAGCATGTAAATGCGCATTCCTGTGATTCATATGAATGATCGAATTTGTTAAATGGTTTGGGTATATTTCTTGGCATTGATGTGTAAACTATTGTGCATCAAAATATCAATCTGTAAAGTTCGTGTGGTTTGCATGAAAATAGTTGGGTGTACTTTGCATTTATTGCATTTTTCACTTGGTTACTTTAAATTTCATTGTACTCTGCATATGTAGCGCTCATTAAATGATTTTAGTGTTTTGTGTTAAGTGTGAATCATATGGTTGCAAGGAAAATGATAGTGTACTTGACCTTGATTGCTTTGGTTACTTTTATTTAAAGTTCTAACTAGATTTGACTTACATCCTCTCTCCCAAAATTGGAGACCACTTTGAACTCCAACTTTTGGAATAGAGTAGTTTAGGTTTTAAATGAGATGTTTGTGGTGGTGTGTTTTGTTGGGGGGAGAAGGGAGTTTTTTTTTTTTTTTTGGGGGGGGGGGGTTGGGATGAGTTTTACACTATTGAAAATTTCACCTTTTAAATGAACTTCACAATAAAGCTAATATTCAAAGTTGCTGTCCCTAAAAGGTAGATTTGGAACACTTGACAAGTTTACCTTGATTTTTCTTGGTGGACTTACATTTTTAGACATGCCAAAAGAAAAGGATTTTATACTCGATGGAGCGAGTATATAGTTATTACTTATTACTATCCCCGTGACTCTTGCACTGCCTATAAATTGTTTTATATGATGTTTTACTATTATTTGAATTTATATGTATATTTTTAAAATGTTTTTCTTATTGTGTGTGGAGTAGCTTGGGCAGCTTAGAGTGACACCTCGGGTTCTAGTTGGTCACAGCTTTGGGGGGAAAGGTAACTTACTTTTCTCATGTAACTTACCTAACCTGCACAGTGGATGCATGATGATTATATCACTAATACTTTATATACTACACATTTCATTTGTTGTCTTCTTATCCATTTAGTGGCCTTGAGCATGGTGGAACAAGCTGCAAAGCCACTTGCGCGACCTGTTAGAGTAAGTCTTTGGATATCCTAGAATGCTTTGAAATTCAGTTTGCTTAATCATAAAGATGAGGATGTTGAGTGACATTGGTAATGTAAAGCATTTATAATCCAGGGTTTGAGTATTGCTACAAGGTAATCTGTGATGATATAAAGAGTGAAACCCTTTTGCGTAAATGGTTTTGGTTTATAGCATTGGCATCTCTAAGAGTTCAAGTGACAGCCTTCTTACGCTTACATTCTAGTCTGTCTCTCAGTCTTCTTTATTTACACTGTTTATTTTATTTCTCCCTCTTTTCAGGTTTGGGTTTTAGATGCTACTCCTGGAAAAGTTCGAGCTGGTGGAGACGGAGATGATCATCCCGCTGAACTGATATCTTTTCTAGCTAAATTACCAAAGGAGGTGAATGTTTATTCTTTGATTTTGATTTTACCAAAGGAGTGGCCATGTCTTTAGGGTTATTTTTTTTTTCATGTTGGATTATAAATACTTTAGAGGTGGCAACTGGTAATTTGTATTGTCTTGTGTTGCTCTAAACGATATTAACCTTCATGTGTCCAGTAACAATTTGTTTTGGTTAATTTTGGTTCCAATTACATCAATTTTGGGTCAGTAAGGATATTGGTGGGTTCTGGGATGAATTTTTGTACTTTGTTACATTGTTATTGTTACATTTGAAAGAATGCATGCTTAGTGCATAGGTTAGTACAGTAATGACTAGTGTTGTCTTCTAATTTTTGTCTTTTCCGGTTGTCATGGGTAGCCTAGTGTCGTCATGCCAGTTAATTTAATCTTTGATTGGTTTATAGTCTTTGTTTCAAGCATAGCTTTAGGTTAAAATACTAATTTTCATCTTGTTATTTCATGTTGAACTTTGAATCTACAATCTTAATTTTGGTTAAGTATGATTTTGTTTTGTTTCCATTGAAATGACCGAAACATTTCAGTTTCCCCAATTTTAATTTTCATCTCATTATTTCACGTTGAACTTTGAAGTATCAATCTTAGTTTTGGTCAAGGATTGAAATTTTTTTTGGTTTCCACCGAAATGTTTTGGTTACCAATTGAAAAGAATAGTGATTGAATATCAAAATTCTTATTTTTTGAGATGCTTTAGTATGCTTCAGAATCTACAAATTTTTGAAGTTTTTATATGTTTCCATCTTGTTTTCTAAATGTTTTGGAGCTGCCCCAAACTATACACTGAAACGGAATTTTGATCCTTGGTTTTGCTCTAGTACTTCGACACGAACACGTACCAGTTCCTCTGCAAAATTGGGCCTTGAAAGACATGTTTTGTCATTTTTTTATTAGGGAATCCCATGCACACATTGTCTGATTTAAAAGTTGGCTATCCAAAGGTAATATTTTTTGTTTTGAAATGCATTACAAAGGTAACATATGCATGCAGCGAGGATCGATATGCACTGTGTACTTTGACTCTGTTCTAGTCTGTTCTTATTATTGCCTTGTAATGATGCACATCTCACTATATAATAATCACTGAAGGATCAACCATCGTACTTTCTTGTATTGGTCAGTAGATCGAAGGTAAAAAATTACAAATGGTTGGTGAATTGTCATTAAGGTTGTAAATTTCAAAGCCATGCCTATATGATTCAAATGAGTTGGCTGACCTTAAATATGTCGTTATTACTGATGGAAAAATGGATGGAAAATTCAACACTAGTAAAGCATATTTCGCTGAAATGAAATCTCACCGCAACAGCATCAAAGACTTGTCATAGATCATGAATTTGGAAATGTAGTATGTTGGAGAAGTCCACCTTTTTGATCTCTGTAATACGCTTTCGCTGGTGGCTAACAAATTAATATTTTTAAGGAGAAGTACACAACAAATTAATATTTTTAAGGAGAAGAACTTAAATCAGCTGGAAGAAACTGATTTAGTTTCAATGGTTCTACTTATGTGCGAGTAATTTCATAATCCTACTAATGGGAAGCACTAAGTTTGTTTTCAACATTTATTTCTGTGGTTAGACTCTACAGAGATATTCATTTCATTTTGTAATCTTTCTTCAAGGAAGATCTCTTCAAAACGGGATGTTGTTAATGCTCTTGTTCAGGAAGGGTTTTCGGTGGATGTAGCGCAGGTATATCTCCAACACTTTGAATTACATGCTTCTACTTGAATAGTTTAGTTTGACATATTGTTATGTTATGCTTTATGTTTAGTTTGAGGGTATTTTAATACTTGGTGTTTATGTATACATAAAAGCTAGAGATTAGTTGTGTAACCTAGGACACTATCCTTTACTTAATCTTTTCTCTCTTTCAAGTTTCCTTCTCATTATTTTCTCTAAACCCTAAAACTTCCAAAGCTAACTCGGTATTAGGGCATCTATCAAAATTTGAAGCCTTAAAGTCGTCAGAATCGTTGAAAATCATCTTACATTATCGGAGTGGCTGATGCCAGATTTTGTCTTGCTGATGTCAGCATCAAGGTTGTCAGAGATGTTCGAAAAACACATGGGTGAACTCGACTTCATCTCTTGTGAATTATAGTGATGACTGGGACAGATCTATGACGTCCATGCTGTTTTGTTGCGATTGGCTTGGTTTTGTGATGATTTGTAGCCAAATTTGAGCTTTGTTACGATTTGCTCCAGCCTGTTGTGCAAAAATTTTTTGGCTACTGTTTGAGTATGGTTTGCTTCAGCCAGTTGTCCACTTCTTATGTTGTGATTTTCTATGAGTGCTTGTCGTTTCATGGTCATCCTATTTTGATGACATGCTAGACAGGAGAGTGACTTCTACCAATACTCAAGGAAGCAGGTCAAGTCATCTAAGGGCAGCCGTCAATAACCCCTCTCTTCAAATTAGTTCAAAGAAATTGGATCGAAGCAATTATTTTGCATGGTTATGGGCTTGTTTGTTATCAATTCAAGCTATTTCTTTGAATGACTATTTGACGAAGGTGATAAAGAAGCATAGAGAGTTTGGTTTTAACCTGATGCAGTAAACATCGGAGAATGCCTTGGTTATGTCTTGGTTGCTTAATTCAATGCAACTTTCTATCAGTCTTTCTTTTTTATTACTTGAGATGACTCATAAGATCTAGATTGTTGTGGCTCACACATATTGTCAAAAGAACAACGATGCAAAGACAAATAACCTTCAAAAGAGAGTTCCTGAGACTAATTAGAAGGATAAACCCCTTGCCATCTACTATGTAGAGTTGACTATGTTGTGGCCGGAGCTTGACTGCTATGAGAGTTTTCAGGCAGATTGTGATAATGATACAGCGAAATTTCAGCAGATAGTGAACTGTTTATGACTTTCTTGTTGTTCTTTAACATCGAGTATGGTGAGATTCGAGTTCAATTTTTGGTCATAGCCCATTTCCCACTTTACAAGAGGCTTATGCCTCTGTTTACCTGGAAGAGAGTAGGAGGATGGCTATAGTTCATCCTCCCACTTAGGAACTATTTTCTTTAATTGTTCTTCCTCAGTGGGACCTAAAATTAGCCCAACCCAAGTTTTTTGATAAGAATGACACCGTTGATAAAGATACTTTAAAGTGTGACTATTGTGGGAAGACCGGACACATTAAGGAGTTTTGTTGGAAGCTGATTGGACGTCCCACACGTGGGCTTGGTGGTATTATGCAATCACATTCTGTTATGTTATGGGTTATTTTTAGGCTAAGGGTAGTTTTGTAATTTGTGATTGTATATAAAAGCTGGGTGTAAATTGTAACCTAACACACTAATCTAATTTTCCAATCTCTTCTCTCTTCCTAATCTTTTCTTCTCTTTCTTAACCCTATTTACATTATAATTTAACTTGGTATCAGAGCTATGATCCAAATTCAAATCCTCAAAGTTGTCGGAAATAGTCGGAAATTGTTGGATATGCACGCCCTTGACGAAATTTTTGCTGACATCGCCTTCTGACATCTAATGTCAGCAATGAACACTACCCAAAATTCAAATTTTTTCGTGGGATGATCTATTTAATGGTGATTTTTCTGAAATTTTTTGGAATGTTTTGATGGTGGTTTCAATTTTTTGAAGATATTTGGGCTTTTTTTTTTATCGCGGATTAGATCTACGATTTCTTGAACCTGTGGCTATTTTTTCTTGTTCTATTTTACTGGCTAGGACTTGAATGGAGTAGATCTACCATACCCAGGCTGTTTGTTGAAGTTCGATCAGATTTGGGTGGGATGCGATTGAATCAAATCTGCTTGTCCATGAAGTTTTGTTGGAGTTGGATCAGATTTGAGATGTTTTTTGGCCAATTTTGAGGTCTTCAACAGTGTTTTTGCCTCTGTTTACTCGGTTTTTTATTTTTTGGCTGTTGTTTGAGCTATTTGGCTACTAGTTTGCTGTTTTCTGGCCAGTCCGGCAGAGTGTCTTTTGCCCCTGTTCAGTTCAAGCAGTGAGGTTTTTGACCCTTTATGAGTTTTAGTTGGGTGCTTCTAGAGTAGTTTTGGACTAGTCCAGTTTCAGGGGTACTGTTCCAGACTTATTGGCCACTGTTTGAGGCCTTTCTACTTGCCTCTGTTATTTCAGGGTTGCTGTCCAATCCTTTTTTTTGCTCGAGATTGCCTGATAGAGACTATTTTGCCATCTCTGTGTCTGGTTATTGCTTTGGTGATTGTACGAACATTTTTTGGTTGTGGTTCAATTCTTTTGGATTTTTAGGACTTTCTTGTTTCCTGTCCAGAGCCACTGTTAAGGCCTTTTTTTTACGTGTTGAGGCATATTACTTGAGCTGTATTTGCTTACTAGTTTTGCATATTTGTTGGGACTATTTGAAGGGTTGGCCATTTTGTTGGTTTTGTGACTTACCGTTGTGATTGTTTGACCCTATTGTGAGGACATGTAGAAAGGGAGTGTAACCTCTAGTAATTTCACTCACAATGAGATGCAGATTCTTAGGCGGTTGATGGGTCAACTTGAGGTTTCCTCTACCACGGTTCCTAATTCTACCTCTTCTTCCAACTTTGCTCATATTGATATATATGGTAGTGTGTTTATTGCGTCATCCATATATACGCCTTGGATAATAGATTCTGGAGCCACAGATCACATGACAGGTTCTTCTAGTCTTTTCTCTTCATATTTTACTTGTTCTGGTTGGGATAAAGTTAGAGTGACAGATGGATCTTTTTCATCTATTTTTAGGAAAGGCTCAATTAATTGTTCACCCTCTTTATCTCTATCATCTGTTATTCATTTTTCCAATTTTTCCACGAACTTATTGACTATTAGTAGTATTACCAAATCCTTAAATTGTTTAGGGACCTTTTTTCCTGCTCGTTGTATCTTTCAGGAACTGAAATTAGAGAAAACATTTGGCAGTGGTAGAGCACATGGTGGTTTGTACCTCTTGGATGTTGAAGCTTTCTCTCAGTCTATCTGTCAAGCTCTCTAGGCAAATGGTGTTTCAACCCTTAGCATCAGTGGTATAGACGTTTGGGGCATCTATCATTTGACATTTTAGAGCATTTTTTTCCTAATTTAGTGAAATAGTGTAGTATACAATCTTTTGTTTGTGACGCTTATGAATTTGTCAAGTATAAACGTTCATCTTATCCTAGTACTAACCATAGAAGTACTGCACTTTTTTTCATTATTTGTTTAGATGTGCGAGGACCTTGTGTCGTATTTATTTCTAGTTACATTGGTTTGTTACCTTTACGATTGTTATTCTCGTCTTACTTGGGTTTACCTACTACGCAGTAAAAGTGAAATTTTCTCTTGCTTTAGATCTTTTCATAAAATGGTGAGTACTCAGTTTGATGCTTAAGTCAAAATTTTTCGAAGTGATAATAGAACTGTGTATATTGATGGGAATTTTGTTCTTATCTCAATAAAAATGGTATCATGTATCACTTGAGATAGACGTGAATGAAAGGGATACAAATTAAGTGTAGAGCACCCCATATATATAGCTAATAAAAGTCACAATAAGGATAAAAAGGAAAAAACTCTAATAAACCCTAATAACCTAGGTTGCTATAACTCCAACACTCCCCCTTAAGTTAGGTGCAAAAATATCAATTAAGCCAAGCATGACAACGGAGTCTCAAAGAATGGATAGAGTGACAGGTTTGGTGAAAACATTTGCAACCTGATAACTGGTCCCCACAAACGGTGGAGTGATAATACGACTGTTAACTTCTCTCGAAGAAAATGAACATCAATCTCTATATGTTTTGTTCTCTCGTATAATACAGAGTCAGAAGTGAGCTGAATAGCAGATCGATTATCACAATATAATATATAGATGAAGAAGTCATTGAAAATCCCAACTCGCCAAGAATCAATCATAGCTAGATAATCTCACATGTGCCAAGTACCAGTGCTTGATACTCTGCCTCTGCTGACGAGCGAGAGACAACTGACCGTTTTTTGCTATTCCAAGAAATAAGGTGAGTCCCTCGAAAAGCACAGAAGTTCGTAGTAGATCGGCCGTCACACGCTCCCCAATAATCTGAATCTGAAAAACAGACTAGAGAACCAATCTAAGATCATGATGCATAGAACAACCCAAGTCCAAGACAAGACTTGAGGTACCGAAGAATATGATAAACTGCATCAAGATGAGGCCGATATGGTCTGTGCATGAACTGACTAATTCGGTTGACAGCGAATGAAATGTCTGGCTTAGTGTTGGCTAGGTAGATAAGTCTACCTATCAATCTCTGATAGACAGTTAGATTTCTCAATTCCTCAACTTCAGTAGTAAGCTTCAGTGAAATCATGGGTGATGATGCCAGTTTACACTCCAGTATTTCATTGTCTGAGATATTTTCTCGGAGGAAGAACAATACCCCTATTGTTACGGGCAACCTCAATCCCAAGAAAGTATCGTATAAATCCAAGGTCCTTCACATCGAAGACCTTCCCAAGATCTACCTTGACCTGCGCAGTCCCAGAAACATCATCTCCAGTAATAATAATATCATCAACATATACCAAAATGATGACACATTGTCTAGAAGTATTCCGTCGAATGAAGTAGGTATAATCAGAATGATATCTGGTGAACCCTAAACGTATAACTACACCACTAAAGCGAGAAAACTAGGCTCGTGGTGATTATTTTTGTCCATAAAGAGACTTACGTAGTCGACATACCTTTCCAGTATACTCTCCCTTACCACGAAAGCCAGTGGTGCATCCATATAAATAAGCTCGTCCAGATCACCATAAAGAAATTTATTTTTCATATTCAACTGATGAAGAAGTCAAGAGTACTCCACAACCAGAGAAATAATCACGACCTGGTATCTGAGTAAAGCCCTTCGCCACAAGCCTAGTCTTGTGACGATTAATAGTACCATCTGCAAACAACTTCAGGGTGTAAGTTCAGCGACAGCCAACAGGTTTTATTCCTGAAGGTAAAGAGACAAGATCCTACATATGATTACGCTAAAGAGCGTCCATCTCCGTCTGCATGGCAAGAACTTACTGGGGCTCCTACATAATCTTTGAAACAGAGCGAGAAATTGGCGTATCTAATAAGGCCATACTAATAAGCTCGAAATGTAGGAGATAGATCATCACAAAAAACATAAGTAGAGATCGAATATAAAGTCTTGGCAGTCCAACCATAACGAACAA